CGTCACTCGTTACCCCTCACTCGTCACTCGTTACCCCTCACTCGTCACTCGTTACCCCTCACTCGTCACTCGTTACCCCTCACTCGTCACTCGTTACTCTCCACTCTCGACTTTCCTAACTTCCAATACCCCGCTCGTTATTCATTGCTGCTCCTTTCTCCATCATGGCACATTCGTTCATCTCTACCATTAGGCGACAAGCTGCTGGTCAACAACTATGATGACGAGAGCTTTACCACCGCCGTGGACGTTGAGGTGTTTATGTCCTATTTATCGAAAAGCGGCAGCGCCATCACCTTGACCAGCATCGAGATCTACGTGGACACAACGGCCGATGATGCGAACGCCTATTTCACGGACGGAGGCATCGGCAGCAGCGAGGCATCCATACTGCTGGCATGCAATCAGACGCGCACCTTCTCATATGAAGCCGTCTTCTACGGTTACTAGACTAGAGAGCAAATTGAGAGCAAATAAAACAGCATCATCAACTTGGAACTGAACTGTGATCGCGATCGCCATCGTCAGCGCTAAAACTAACGCTAATGCCATATTCCATCCCATTCTTCTCTCAGAGGGACAAGTATTATAGAGCTAAATTTGAATTAAAGCAATGAAACCAAATGAAGACAGTTTACAGAAATTATCTATGGTTACGACTCACGACTCACGACTCTTTCGATAAACATTTCTCCATATATATTATGTATATATGTATATAGCACCTCTTTGACGCACTCATCCGGAAGCTTGAATATTGATTTTTTTTTTTTTTTTAACTATATATTTATATTGTATATATTACATATACATATGTATGTGGGTTGATGTGTGTGCATATACTTCTGCTGATTTTGGCTTGCGTTGAGCAAAAAATATCTTTGGCTTATCGTACACACGCACACCAGCACAGATGCTTGTAGACGCCGTTGGAGTATGACGGGGTTTGGGTTTGTCCAATGTAGCCGCATTTAATTGAATTGGTCGTCCGTTATGCCGACCCTCTGCTTCACTGAGCTACTTGATAAGGTGATGCAGATCGTGACACGTGGCGCCATTAACTAAGCGAATAATGCGTCATTTGAATCAATATCAATCAATCAATATGGTAAATTGCTTTCCTGTTTGGGGAAGACCCCTACGCAGATCATGTCAAGAATCGCTGTGGATACCCTTTATTAAAAGCAATAATTAAATTCAGATACAATATGCAATAGGCAATAAAAGAACGATCCATCAACAGGGAGTTCCTGCTAAATGAAACTGTTTATGGCTCTCTTTCGCTTAAATGAGATGTATCCAACTAGAAGATACTCAGCTGTGTATACTTACAAACGCCTCTGTATATAAATAAATCTCTCTATATATTGTATGTATACTTCATAGTTTGTGTTTTTTACGCTGCTGAACTTGAAATATAAAATAAAATATAACAATATGTACATATGTATGCAAACACTTTGTGAGCTAAGGGAACGAGCTGAGCTCAGTTTCTTTCGGGATTTCGTACGCTACAGAAGTGAAGCAATGGCTCTGAAAACCTTCAATGTGATTGTGCTCTGCATATTTCTGCCGTTGGCAAATAGTTTTATGTGGAAAATATACCAATTAAAAGGTGTGTTCCCCCACATAAATACATATTCAAAGAGCTCAACATATTGGGACTTAATGTATAGGTCCATTGACAATTCTCTTTCAATTCAATTCAAAAAAAAAAAAAAACTTTGAGATTAGGTTTATTTTCGATTAACATTTGGGATTACTCAACTAAAAATTCAATACGGCCCAGATTTCAGGCCTCATCGGACTTTTCAGTCACATTGTATTTCATATTGTGCAGAGGGATGTTAAGACGGACATTGTATAGACCCAATATAATCTATCTAGTTCGTTTATGGGTATATCAATTTGACTTAATCTATTTGTGTAATCAGCTTTGTTTGTTTTTCAATCTCAATAGAGAATATGCCTTGCCTGGATAAGAAAAGTACTTGTAAGCTACCCGATAATTGTAGCACATGGAACGCCTATAAGGATCAACAAGATTCGTTAGCTTCTTGCGGTTTCAAGTCATCGACTGGCATGGAGCTGCGTTGCTGTCCCAATCAGTTTCCTGAGGGTTACGTACCACCAACGACACCGAAACCAACACCACCAACACCACATCCCTCAATACCAACGTAAATAGCTGATCAATCGAATGTATCCAGCAAATAATACTTGATCAATTTCACACCCTAGGGATTTCGAAGTCAAGCATCTCGCTCCCATCTTATACAGCACAGTATACATGGATGGGTTTGAATACCATTGTACCGCTATTATCCTGTCGCCGACCAAACTGCTAACCACGAGCAAATGCGTGGGCAAGAAGGTTAGGCAGAAGCCCAGCAGAATTGCAGTGGGTGTTACCGATCCGAGAATAAACTATGATGAAGAACTGGAGTTCGCAGTTACGGTATTGTTGTTTAGTAATACCGATCCCATCATCCTTCAGTACTCGAATTGATCTGTATACATCATTTTATTCGTATATGATTACAGCGAAACATCAAGCAAATGAATAATGATCTAGCACTTCTGGAGCTGCGCACGGCCATTGATTTCACGGATAAGGCAATGGCAAATGGAAGCATTGCTATCCTTTGCCACACGGACGAGCTGGCAGGACAGCCAAAGCTATATGCTGTGGGCTTTGCTCAAAACACGGGTATATACATATCATGTTTTCTAGGATTATTATAATGTTATGTCTGCAGTAACCAACTGCGGCTTGTTCCAGACCCGCCTTGAGAGGCTCTCTGACTGCAGAGTACCGGAGCTAAGACTCCCGGTGAGAGGAATCGATATCACTTCAACACACATCTGTGCGAGAGCTATGCCGGAGAGCTCTGCCAGGAGTGATGGATGCATAAATTGTCTGACGGCCAGCTCGAGTGTACTCCATGTGGAGCGAGCGGACGGCAGTCTATGTGTGGCTGGCATTGCCACGCCCACTACAGACGAGTGCAATTTGACCGACAATCCAGTTCTCTATACGATATTTTTGAATAGCGCATTCAAAAATTTCTTGGGCCTTCCTGAATCCGCCAGTAACTGATGAATCGTGTGATCATTTATAAATGATATTCCATTAAATTGAAAAAGAATATCTCTATTTAAGAATCTGAAACATAAATATTAAAATATGAACTACAAATAAGAACGATATTACTTTGAACCTATTACACATCCATTGAAATGAATGGGCTTTTTCGCTTTGTAAGAAGGCTGAAGGTTTCTCCCTGACTTTGCTTTGTATTATTTCCTGGAAAAAATCTGAATATTAAATGATAAGAAATATAATATATATTCATAGCATTGAGAGAAAAAGAAAGCTGATCGAGGACTGGATCGGTCCCAGTGGCTCATTTGTGGATGAGCTGGTAAGCCAAGCAGACGTATTATTGAGATTGAGAACCATCTTGCATATATAAATATAATATAAATATATATATACATATATATAGCTACATTCAAAATGTCAATTATCGCTAAATGCATGGCGCTTAATATAATACTGCTGATAACAACCGTGGCAGTGTATGGATTTCCAGAAAAGAAAAAACGTAAAGTCCATGTTCTTGTTCTTGACTGATTGTGTTGTGAGTTGATATATATTAATCCAGTGGGAGATCCTTGCATCTGGACATTGGACAATTCGATTGGACGTTGTGAGCTAGACTACAATTGCACTGTGCTACATGAGCCCTATAGGGCGGGAGAGGTGAAACTGAACGATATCCCCAGCTGCGGTTACTTGAGTGCCAACTCCCCGGAAATGATTTGTTGTCCCAATAGTTGGCCCACCAAGAGCACCACAACACCCACGTATAAACGTCAATTTTTATACAAATTGTCTTGGGTTTTTTCTTTTCGTTTTACAGTTCGCCTTTTATGTTTTGCAGAATTGGTTGGGAAAAAGAATTTCGACATCTGGCGTCCTTTGCATACTACACCCAATCATATGACAAATTTGTGTACCACTGTACGGCGATAATACTGTCGTCGAATACAGTAATGGCCACAAGCAAGTGCGTGGGCAACCGGATGACGGAGAGACCCTCCAAGGTTGCGTTGGGCGTCGTCGATACGAGGGAATACGTTGAGGCATATCTGGAGCATGAGCTGAAGGTAGGATTTATTAGTCATGGACTACTCACCCAGTCAGCATTATCAAATCATGCTCAGCTGCCACCGCCCATCCGATGCTTGTTTTCTTAAATTTTATTGCAGTCACAAAGGAAGATAGTCAACAACGATCTAGCACTATTCTACCTGAACAATGCCATTGACTTTACCGATAAGACAATGGAGAACGTGAGCTTGGCTACGCTTTGTTTTGAAAATGAACTGGAAGACCAGCCGCAGCTATATGCTGTGGGCTTTGCTCAAAACGCGAGTATATATATATATATATTTATCATGTTGTTTAGGATTGTTTCAAGTGCTTCAATTATGCCTGCAGCTACAAACTGCGGCTTGTTCCAGACCCGCCTTGAGAGGCTCTCTGACTGCAGAGTACCGCATCTAAAACTCCCGGTGAGAGGGATCGATATCACTTCAACACACATCTGTGCGAGAGCTATGCCGGAGAGCTCTGCCAGGAGTGATGGATGCAGAAATTGTCTGACGGCCAGCTCGAGTGTGCTCCATGTGGAGCGAAGTGACGGCAGTCTATGTGTGGCTGGCATTGCCACGCCCACCACCGATGAGTGCACTTTGACCGACAATCCAGTTCTTTATACGATATTTGTGGGCAGCGCAGTGCAGGATTTGTTTGGCTTTTCTATTCCAGGCAAGGGACCCACATTTAGAAACATGAAGACTTGAGCGTGGTCTGTAGAATATGTTTATAATGATCCTACCAAGGCCTTTGTCGATGTTAATTCAATGTTAGCTAACATTTTATATAAATGAAAAGGACTCTACGAATTCTACGTTTGTTGTTTTTTTGTTTACGATGTTTTTGACAGCAGTTTGATTTCATTGATGTGCTTTAGCTCTATGAATGTGCTTTAGTTTTTTTCAACAAATTTGTTTAACAAATATTCAAAATTCGTAATAATAATGGCTGCAACAACAACGGCGGAGGATGTGCACAATGCGGACTTCTTTTACGGCTGGGACTTACTATTTAAAACTGTGGAGACTCGAGTTGTCAAGAAGGCGGACGTGCTGATGGTCCTCGCCCACTTTCTGCTGACCAAGCATTGTAATTTTCGTTGCGTTGGCATCGGCGATGACAAAAGTGTGCCGGATGATGAGCCCGGCAGCGAACTATTGCCGGATCAGTGGAACGGAGATAGTGCCAAGTACTCGCTGAGATATGTGCGCAATAAGGTCCTCTATTTGCTGCTGGCCCACATTACCGAGGATGCGCTGATCGTCAATTTGCTGGATGTGAACACCAAGAACGTTTCCAATCTCTGCCTCACGCCAGACACTCTGGTGGCCGACTTGAGGGGTGGCATTGCCAAGACCCTGCCCACCGCTGGCGCAGTGGTTGAACGCTTTCGCCGCGAGCTCTGCGATCCGGTATTTGCGGCAAATATCCGCGAAGTGGTCGTACCGCAAACGACCACCCAGACGCCGGTGCAGACAACGGATCCACTTGCCGATGACAGTCGACAGCCGGTGGCATATATGCCGCACAGTTTCGAGATAAATCCCTTTAATGTGCCCGATGTTGGACGGGGCGATTTGGATCCATTATCCGGCGGTTTGGGTAATCTTTTTCCTTTTCCACGAAATCCGGCGCCCCGTCGTCCGAACGCACCTGACCAGACCACCCCAGATCCGGATCACGCTCAGCCCCCAGACTGGACTCCCGATAGCTACATGTGAGATGACGCGCACACAAATTGGCCATGAGTTTACTAAATCCGCCTAATAAAATTAATTACTTCGAAAATTATACAGAAAACCAAGTCAAATTAATTTGAGCATCTTGAAATTCCAGTTGGTCAAAATGATGTGAAGAAGTACGCATTATGTTGATAGGGGTTTTCCGTAATTAAGTTGTCAACCAAATTGTAAAATCCCAAACATGCCCTAATACCGGATGCTTAAGTTCTTAAACTATTCAAATTCTATTGCCTAGCTTGAATAAAATACAAAATAAATTAGAGGATCGGTACGTTAGTTAATTACGTAAGGGTGCTTAGGAGACAAGGATGTGGAAATAGGAAATATATCATATATATGGGAAATAGATCAGAATCTACCCATATGCTATTCAATTCTGAGACTCCCTACGGCCAAGATATATTAGAGAAGACAACATTTTTGGCGTTAGAGAAGTTAATTTTTGATTTACTCAATCGTAGAATCGTTCTATTATAGAATATAATAGAATGCGATAGGAAATGCATAGCCTTCGCGAATGCAACGACACTCGCAGTGCCGTTAGTGTTATCGCTTTGATTATGCAAATTGTTGCTCGTGTGCCTCGTAAGTTGTATCAAACACAATGCTGGAAGATCGGCTGCTAGGCATACACTTCCTCAGTTTCCCAGCAGACGTCGCGCGGCGTCAGGCTGCGCTGCCACCGCCGCTGGCTCTGCTGCGGCTGGCGTCGCGCTGAGCGCCGAGCTGGGCCAGCGGGAGAACGTCAACAGCGTAGAGCAGTTGAGCGCGAGCGACGCGCCTGTCCAGTTCGTTGTCATCGGATCGCATCGGATCGGACCATGGCACGAGTGAGCAGTGTGATATCAGCGCTGTTTTGGCTCTGTTTGAGCAGCGGATGCAGCGGCTATTACAGCCTTCAGGGTGCGTTAGCAGACTTGAGGAGTCTCCCTCTCTCTCTCTCTCTTTCTGTCTCAACCTCTGCATATATTTGCATACCTATCTAATGCTCTCTTTTGCGTTCGCAGTTGGTGATCCGTGTCCGACTCGCGGCTATCGCAGCAGCTGCCAGCCGGCGGAGCAGTGCTCCACACTGGGGCCGTTCATTAGAAGTGGACGGCTGTCGGTTGGGTCTGTGCTCAATTGCGGCTATACTATAGCCGGCGAGAAGATTTGTTGTCCGCTGGAAGATGCAGCAACTACAACAACAACAACAGCAACAACCACTACAACAACAACAACAACAACAACAACAACAACAACAACAACCACTACAACAACAACGGAATCTCCACCCTGGCTTGGCCTATTCAAGACCAGTCGAGAGTATTTGGAACGTTCGGTGGCCGAGCAGGCGCCAGCCAGCCGGGACAGCATCATATTCCCAGATACCTCCACCCTGTCGGGCGCCGCCTGCCAAACGCCCCTGTACGAGGGCAGCTGCGAGACGATATCGCGCTGCCGCAGCCTGAAACCGTTGCTGCTGCAGCAGCGACTGCACGACGACGATGTCCAGACGTGCCGGGCCGGCACCGTCGAGGAGATCATCTGCTGTCCGGCCAATTTGCCGGCGGTGCCGCGCGGCCAGGTGGGCACCGCCACGCGCATCTGTCTGCCCGAGACGACAGCACCGCAGACCGAGACGAGAGCCTTGTACGACGACGAGAGCGCCGCTGCCAATGCGGTGCGTCTGTTGCCCCACTATAGGCATCTGGCGGCGCTGGCATATCCGAATGCTGCACACGATGGCTATGTGCATAGCTGCACGGCGCTGGTACTGACGCCGCAGCTCCTGGTGAGCGGCGCCGACTGCGGGCGGCCCAGTCATGCGGTATTCGGTGTGGCCGATATGCGTGATGTGGATGATGAGGAGGACTTTATAGCTGTTATAGATGTGTGTATCGCTCTCTCTCTCTCTCTCTCTCTCTCGCACTAGTTTGTTCTAAATCATCTCTCTCGCTCTCTTGTGCAGCGTGTCGCCGTCTATCGCTACGATTTGGCTGTGCTGCGTCTAACGCAACCATTGCCCGTGGATCAGTCGAGTGGGCCACACATCAGTCTGGCCCCCATGTGCACCCAGTTCGAGCTGACACGCCTGCAGATCAGCGGACAGCTGCTGGCCACCGCCTGGGCCAAGAGCAATGGTAAGCCCTAGCCTTGCGCTGCCCCGACTCCAGCTCCAATGTTAATCAGTTCTTGCCTTCTCCAGCCAGCGATTGTCCGCTTTATGAGCTGCCCATGCGTCTGCTGCCCACGGAAGCGTGCAAGGATATTGCCAATGCCACAGCTGCCCAGGAGGTGCCTGCGTCGCATCTCTGTCTGGCGCCCATTCAGGCCAATGCTCTGATTGCCAGCGATTCCGGCTCGTGTGCTCCGTGTCCCGCTGCCGTGGCCAGTGTGCTCCATTTGCTTCGCCCCAGCGGCAGGCGTTGTGTCTTGGGCGTTGCCACGCCCACTGTCGACCACAGTTGCGATGCGAAGGCCATGTACTACACGAGCCTGCTGAGCGCACAGCTCCTTGTGTTTGTCGAACAGCAGCAGAAGGCGAAGCGTCTATAAGGACTGCCGGACCTCATCGAGACTCAAGCCCGCTCGTTCCACTGCAACAGTTGCAGCCTTAGCTGCAAACTCCTTATCAAATGTGATTACTATATAAGATTTATACGCTCATATACAAATATATTGGATATGTATTTTTCTATAACTAGCGCGTAGTATATATAGATATAAACACAATATAGATTTTTAAACTGGTTTTCCAGCTAAGTGAAGTATTTTTTAATATGAATATATTTAGCTAAAGCTCGGCTTGAGCTCAAAACGAAGGAGAGTGAGATAGCAAGCAAGAGAAAAAGAAAGAGACAGGGAGAGGGAGAGCAAGGTAAACAGTGTGAGAGAGAGAGAGGGAGAGGGAGAGAGAGGGAGAGGGAGAGAGAGAGAAAGGGAGAGGGAGAGAGAGAGAGAGAGAGACTGTGAGAGAGAGAGAGAAAGAGACAGAAAGATAGATAGAAGGAGATAGCAAGAGATATAGACACAGAGAGACATGGAGATAGAGAAAGAGACTCACAAAGACATGGAGATAGAGAGAGAGAGGTAGGGATAGAGAGAGAGAGGTAGAGACAGAGAGAGAGAGAGAGAGAGAAAGAGAGACACACACACAGACAGACTAAGAGATAGAAAGTGATGGAGACACAACGAGAGTCAGATGGACATGGAGACAGAGAGAGAAAGAGACAGACTTATATAGAGACTTATATGTAAGTGAGAGAGAAAAAATATTGTTTAGATTTATTTTGGTATTACTTATTACTATCTTTTTTCGCTAAGTGTAGTTGAAATTGTATGCTGCTTCTCTTCCATCTAAAAGCTGCTAATTATTATGGTATGTTTTATACATTGTTTGTATTTGCTTTTCGCGCTCTGACCTTATGCCTCTTTAATATTATCAATTTAAAATAGACTCTCAGTTAGACGTAGTTAAAGTGAGAAACTAAACTCATATAAATCTCAGCAACCAGCGAACGAGCATCGCACAGTCGGTAAAGTCGATTCAAGTTAAATGTAGTCAGTTCTGATTTATTTATTTCTTGTTATTTTGTATTTAAATAAATTTTGATTTTTTTTTTTTTTTTTTTTTAAAATTTTTATATTTTATTAACGAGCTTACTGCTACCATAATGGCAACTTAATCT